AAGCCACTCAGCCACATGTTGGTCCCAAACCACGTCCACATTCATCCACAGCTCAATGAATATTTCTTTTCTTGGAGAGAGAGAGAGGCTCCTTGGAACCTCTGGAGTCCGGGGTGGGGGATGTTATCCTCCTCATGAGTGCACTGTCTTCCTAAGATAGGATGGACTACGGGGTCTATATGGGAAGAGTTAGCTGCCAGGGCTTCAAGGCTGGCTCTTAAGTGGTTGCCGGAGGCTTAGAGAACCCATTCCAGCTCTCTCTCAAATAGGGGCAGCTTATTAGCAGGAGTGAGTGAGGTGAGCCCACTATGAACCCATAGGAGGAGAGGAAAAGACCATCCCCTCTAAGCTTTTACATACCCCATTACAAGCTCCAGAATGTGGTGCCCAGGCCCTTATCTCTAACCCATCCCCAGAAGCCAGTTCTCCTCAGCCCTTCCTGCCACTTCTGCCATTGTACATCCAGACAATTCCCCTCTTCTCTTCTACCAAACTCCTACTCATCTCTCATCCATCAAGTCCAAATTTAAATTTCTTTCTCTGCGATATATTCTCAGGGTAGAGGTAGAGGTGCCTTCCTCTGTATTCCAAGAACATGTTGTTTGCAGCTCTAAATACAGAAATCAGCCTACTGTTAAGCTTCAGGTGCATCTTTTAGGGGTTCAAGAAGGAATCGCACTCCAAAAACACTGGGCTTATTCCCTAATTTCATCAGACCTGACCTTAGTGCTTCATCCATTCCCACCTCTCCCAGCCATGTGAGAGGCCTTTTCTTTTTATGGGTTTGACAACAACCAGTTACTTGCCCAAAAGTATTCTTGTCATATTGATAATAAATTCCAGCCAACAAGATGCTTTCTGCCAAGGTAATGTTCCTTTTTAGGGCACTTTGTCCCCAGGGATATTAGACAACTTCAGCAGCCTCATATAAGCATTAACTGAAAGTGAGGCTTCCTTGGTGGCTCAAAAGATTCCCCGAGCAACCCTACTCTGTCACTGATGTCAAATTGCAGTGAGATTGCGTCAAAGCTCTCAGAGCACAGCTTCAAAGGGAAAAGCAAAGAGCTCTACTCTGAACCTGCAGCTTTAGGCAATTAGTTTCTCTCTGACGGTCCGTTTTATACTTAAGGAAGAAATGGAAGATTGCTACCAAAAATGGCATCAGGTTACTTATTCCAATCATGTGATTAGTTGCTACTCCCGTGAGGAGCAAATAAAGAGGAGGTAGACACATAGCTATTCCTAGGCTTGAGGAGCAGGGAAGCTCTGGAATTGGTGTGCAGCATGTGCTGCATAGAGCACCATTACAAAGGAACAAGAGAAGTCCACTAGGAGGTAAAATACAGAGCACTTAACTCACAGGGGGTCCGGGAAACAGGCAGGCTTTTGTATTTATCATCTGCTGCGATATCTCTCTGCGAACTTTCTTCTCCCCTTTAATTTTCCCTGTACTTTAATTATATTTCTGAGACTTGGCGAAGTGGCTCAAGCCTGTAATCCCAGCACTTTGGGAGGCTGAGGCTGGCAGAACACATAAGGTCAGGAGTACAAGACCAGCCTGGCCAACATGGTGAAACTCCTTCTCTATTAAAAATACAAAAATTAGCCAGGCGTGGTGGCAGGCACCTGCAATCCCAGCTGCTAAGGAGGCTGTGGCATGACAATAGCTTGAACCCAGGAGGCAGAGGTTGTAGTGAGCTGAGATGATGCCACTACACTCCAGCCTGGGTAGTACAGCAAGACTTTGTCTCAAAAAAAAAAAAAAAAATTCTCAGTTAATGGCCAACATTGTTACCATCATAAGTCCCAGTTTTCCTAGCTTTCACCCTCCATGTATCTTTTATTTTTACCTATGTTCTTCTCACCCAGGTTTGGCCTCTTGCCCCTTCTTAAGCCTCCCTGGGCATCATGTGTTGAATGTCCACTTCCCTCCTTGTTTTTCAGTTGGAGTGCCTTAGCATCTCCAAGTCAACATGTCAAAAGCAGAATTACTGATACACACACACCCACCACTCCTGACACACACAGCGTCTTCTTCCTCAGACTTCCCCATATCAGTTAACAGAGACTTTATCCTTCTAGCTGCTCAAGTCAAAAACCCAGGAATCATCACTGAGCCCTCTTTCTCTTTTATTTATGGAACACCCCAGCCATAAGCGAATTCTATGGGCTCACTTTCCAAAATAAATGTGGAATCCAGCCATTTCTAACACCTCCACCATTACCATCTGAGTCCGGGCTTCGACATCTTAGCCATCCTGGGATAGAATCTTAGCTGACTCTCCCTTCCACATCTCCTCTTGTCCTCCTAGACTTTGTCCCACACACACAGATGCCAGAGTGATTTTTAAAGATATGTCAGGGTATATTACTCCCTTGCTTCAAATCCTCCATTTAAGATAAATTTCACATTTATAACAAAATCCAGACTTTTTCATATGGCTGACCGGGTGCTTCATGCTAACGGAATGTGCACGTGCTTCTCCCTAAGGAGTGCTTTTTGCCAGGGCAAATTCTCTGTCTCCAGTGATGTCAGGTAATTTCCACAACAGCATTCTCTGCCACCTTTTGCTTTTCATAGCTTTTTTCCTCCAGATTCTACAATGAAAGGAAGATCAAGTCTCCTTGTGTAGCAGGAGCGGCGGCGAGAAACAGAGCTCCCGAAGGCCAAATGGAGAAGGAAGAAGTCTTTATTACAGCTGGGAGCTGAGAAATAATTTGTCCAAATTCAGCTCGTCTAACAAAGAAAGGTTCTGCCTTTATGTAGGCTTATACTTTAGATTTACCCGTGGAAGAATCTTAGGTTTACAGCCTTAGAAATCACATATGAAAACGGTTTCGGTTTACAGCTTCAGGAATCACATATGAAAAGGGTTTCAGTTTACAGCTTCAGGAATCACATGTGAAAGGGTTTCGTTTTATAGTTTTAGGACTCATATGTGAAAAGGTTTTGTGTTTGATTTTGTTTTAAGTAAAAAGTGTCTTCCCGAGAGTTTCCCCAAGACCAAGCCTGCCACCTACAGGAAGGTGAATCAGGAGGCGCCAGTCAGCATTGTCTTCTATTGAAATGCAGTGTGGCAGTCAAAGTGGAAGTTGATCCGAGATGGCTGGGTCTCCTTCCTCACTTGTGCAATGATTTACTCCTCGATGGATATTGGTGCCAGTCACGTGTACCACTTTCAGATGATTCAAGAATAACAGCGATTTGAGAGAGTAAGTTTTCCCTTCTCTTTTTCTGTTTGATATTTATTTTTACAATTATACTTACAAAGTTGCTCTTTCCAAACACCACAAGACCCATGTAGTTTAAGCAGTGATTTTAGGGAATCTCTGTATATTTGACATTAAGCTCAGAAACATGCTCATGATTATTCCATCAAAACTCTCAACTTTTACATAAACATCTGTCCTTCTACCAGTTACAAAATAATTGTCACCATCACCCCTTAATCAACCATCTTCTCCCCTTCTTTAACCAGCTTCTCAAAAATAACACCCAATACTGAAGGCATCTCCTTCTATTCAGGTTCTTAGTAAGACCTTCTGTTCCTACAGCAAGAAGAACAGTAAGATGTTTTCTCAAGCCCCATGCAAAGCACTTCTTTGATCATCGGTTTTGGGATGCTAGGCTTTGGAGTCTTCATCCGGAGGGTAAAATTCCTCACTCAGTAATGCGTGTCCTAGGAACCAGGCCTAAGCACTGGTGGCCGCTTCCTCGTCCAGGATGGCATTGTCGGTGTTCGCCAGTCCCTCCGCGAAGCTGGCTCATACGCGGGGCAGGCCAAGTCCATCCAGATGTCACGCAGACGCAGGTGCAACCTGCTTTGGGACCTGCAGTCTGCTGGAGGCTGGGCCTCTGCATCATCTGGGTGTAGCTCTCTCTGCTGCGGCCGTCCCGTCACCGCCCCCACCCCGCAGCTGCAGAACAGCAGGAACCGCCAAACATCTTGGCGGGCTATGCCCTGCAGCTCCCGCGGGCTAGTTGCTCCTGCTGGCAATCAAATAGCGGGGAAATTGTGAAACCGACAGGCACCTCCCATTCCCGCCCAGCTGCCGCGCTGCTCCTCCTAGTCCTCGACTAGGAGACTAGGGACGCCGCTGAGCGGGAAGGAACTGGGCAGCGATTGCTCCTCCTCATCCTCCACTAGGAGACAAGGGACGCCGCTGAGCGGGAAGGAGCAGGGCAGTGATTGCTTAGTTTATCCTGGGAGGCGGGAGCGGGCGGTGGACTGAGTGGTGCGGGGGAGGGGATCGCTGGGGCATATAGATGGGTCATCCGGACAAATAGGGAACTTGGGCGGCTGGGCGCGCAGTCCCCTCGGCCCCGCCTTCCGGCCCACCCGAGCGCGGGCAGGCTGGCTCTGTCATCCCTTCCAGTCGCTTCGGTCACTGTCTAGAGCTTGCCAATTGCCTTCCAAAGTGGATGAGAGATGAGTCATTTCCATCCAATGAGAGAAAACAGCCTCCAGAGACTCTTCGCCCATTGGCCAGCGAGAGTGTCAATTCCCAGGCTAGCAAGGGCGCTCTTCCAGGCAGGAAAAGTTGGGCTGACAGCGATCCAGTAGTCTTTTCAGCACCTGCTGGAAACCGTGTGGACACGGGCACGTGCACTGTCTAGACAGACTCTCCGGAACTGTGAGTGGTTTTTCTGGTCCTGGGTAGAACCTGGAGTTCTTAGGGGGTGGCTGGCAAGGGCAATAGGCAGACGGACCTCAGCCCGAAGTAAAGGAGGTTTTGGATGGGGAGCTGGGCAGCCCTGCCTGTTGTGGTAATTCCCTTCCCTCCCTTCAGCTTCAAAAGCCAAGAGTTTTACTCCTGAAAAGATACATGGGGATCCTCTGGGTGTTCCTGAAGCTCAAGAGACTCGTTTGACCCCGGTGGGTCCTTTCCCTGTCTTGTGCCCTTCGCACCCATAGAACGAGACCAGGTTCAGTTAAGCAGAGCAGAAACTTTATTCACTGATCAAGGAATTGAGAAGGGGAGCTCCTGCTCAAAGTGCCTTCTCCCCCGGGGTGTAGTGAGGGGGTGCTTTTTAAGGTCTTCTGGAGCATGGAGGTGGAGACTGAGGGCAAGGATTCCTGGCAAGAGATGGGACTTTCCAGGAAGAGCTGAGTGTGGCAGTCTCGTGCTTTCTGTTCCCTCCCCACCCCTACCACGAGTACGTGTACCTAGCAAGGTGCATTTCTTTCTGGGCAGAGATTTCCTATGGTAATTAGCAATGATTCAGGTTACTGTAGCGCTGCTGAGCTCCTTTCCCATCTTGTAGCCCCGTGGTTACTGACATCCAGCCTTTATTTCTGTAAGCAAGCACAGCTGCAAGCACAGTTTACCTTCCTAGGTTATGAGGCTTTAGGAAAGCATGGAGGTCATGCTGTGGTGACATAGGCAGTTGTTGAAACAACGTGGTGTGCATTTAAGGCGGGGATTGTGGGGTGAGGCAGGTAAAAACGCAGATTCCATAGCCACACCCCGACATACTGAATCAGGGTCTGTGAGGGTGGGATCTGGAATCCTTTTTAAAAAGCTCAGAGGAACCAATTCACAGGAACAATAAAAGTTTGATCTGAGCCAAACTCCTTAATCTAGATATGAGGAAGCGGGGATTCCCTAAAAGGGATACAGGGAGAGGGTTGCAGGAAAGTTACGCTATAATAGTTTTAGGGTGATTCTTTCATGGGAAATAACCTGGGAAGTTTTCTCAGCTGATGCTCTAATCAGTACGCTGGTGAATACTTTAGGTGAACCCTCTTCATATATCCGGAGTTCTCTCTCTGTTCAGGTGTCCCTCCAGGTCTATGGTCTGTGACCTCTTGTCATTTTGGTCTCTCAGCTTTGTCTCCTCAAATCTGGAATTCCAGCTAGCTTTGCCTTGCTGCCCTTCCTTGTGACAGTGGCCTGGAGACTCCCTCAAGGTAATCTGCTAGAGTAGATTATAGGACACATTTCAATTGTTACTGTCCTTAACTGTATGGTTTCCAGTTCCTTGTAAACCATTGTTTCATATATTTTGCTCTGTTTTGTTTTGTTTTCAGAATAGGGAGAAATCCAGTCCCTGTTACTCCATTTTAGCCAGAAATTCAAGGTAATGACTTTTAATGTTCCTGACTACTAGTTCTATCATCTCTCTCACTTCTGAATCTGTCTCTATTTGTGGATGTTTCTAGTCATTAGGGTCATATTTTTCCACTTTTTAAATGCTTGCTGATTTTTGACTAGATATCAAGCTTTGTTAATTTCACAACTCTGGGTGCCAGAAATTTTTACATTCCTATCAACCTTCTTGACGTTTGTTCTAGTATATTGCTATTTTATATGGCAACCATTTTATACTTTTAAAGCTTGCTTTTATTTGTTGGGTGGGACCAGGACTACGGCTAATTTTGTCCCACTTTGGAAGCAATACCTTTGAGTACTCTTGTAAGGTTTATTGCCGATGTAGAATGAGGAAACTGAGGCAAGTATGAGCAAATGAGAAGCCAATTTATTCAGCTCCCAGGCGAGGTTCTGTGGTCCAGGAAGGGGCCAAAGAAGTTGTGCCCAGCTGTTTAGGTCATTAGGTCATGGGGTTTTATGGGAAGGAAAGGCGATTGATCGGCTATTGGGGAAACAAAGCAAAGGCAATTTTATTGGCTGTCAGGAAGAAGGAAGTGCCTGAAACTAGTTGCTATTGGTAGGCGGGCAGGACTTTGGGTAAGTGGGTCTTGATTGGCTGTTGGGGAAACAAAGTGAAGGCAATCCTATTGGCTATTAAGAAGCAGGAAATGCCTGGAGCTAGTGGTTATGGGTAGGCGGGCCGGACCTTGGGCCTTGATTGACTGTTGAGGAAACAAAGTGAAGGCAATCTTATTGGCTTGGGTGATGACGCAGTTAGCAGAGGCGGAGAGAGATGGATGAGTCCATTTAACCCTCTGTGAGGCAGCTGGTCTTACAACTCTGCCTGATACTTCATGAATTATGAAGTTATCTAGTCAGAATTTGGGAACTGAAACTTTTCGCAGTGCTGTATGAGCCTCAGAAATTGCTACATCTGCTCCTTTTGGGTAGTTGTTTTCCTGCTCCTTTTCAACAGTTTCATTACACTCATGCATTGGCCAAGCTGAAATCTCAAGGGATACCCACTACAGACTCTGATACTCTGCTCCTGTGGCTCTCTTCTCCCTAGTTCTCTACCATACAAGCTCCAGTCATCTTGGCCTCCTAAAACTCCCAGCTTGTCTTTCTCAACTCAGGGAAACTGCTAGACTCTGCCTGTTTCCCCTCCCTGAGGTATGCCTTGGAAACTCCACACAGTAAGCTAGATAGCCACAGGGCTTACCTCATATAACTTCTTTCTCAGATATCAGAGACGAGGTCCCACACTACCTGATGACCAGGGTTTGAAAGTTGTTATTTCATAGATCTTGTCTTTTTTGTTTTTTTAGACATTTCAGGTGGCAGAATAAATTCAATCCTTGGTTCTCCATCTTGTCCACTAGTAGGAGTGGAGTTAGTTATATTCTCTTTGAACTCATCATGAATTCCATGAAGACTGAGGAGAATGAGTCACTTATTGCTACAGAAGGTGACCAGAGTACTAGACCTGAAGTTTCAAAGGTATATCTACTTTTTTACAACTACTCACTGGAGTGATAGTCTAACCATAATGCCATACGAGGTTCGTGGAGATAAGTTCTTAAAGAATGATACTTATAAGCCCTTCCCTTACGTTCTTTAAAATATATTTGGGGAGTTCATACACATAAGTGCTTGTGGAAAGCAAAATGAGTTAATAATGCTAAACATTTCTTTAATCAACAAGATGACTAACAAACAATATAGATACATCATGGAGAGTATAGACAGGCAAAAATAATTAGCTAATGTTTACTGAGAAAACACTGTGTGCCTGGAATTGTGTCCCATCATATGGATTATCTCATTTAACACTTAATAGAACTATAGAACAGGTACTAATATCATCCTTATTTTACAAAAGAAGAAACTGAAGCTCAACTTGCTTATAGTTGCAGAAGTAATAGACTGCAGAGCAAGAATCTGAAGGTAGGCGGTCCGACTACAGAGACTGGTTTTTGAACCATACTATTTTGCTCAAAATATGCAAAACGATAATACTAAATTGAGACGTGAACAAGTGATTTTAGAATACAGAGAAAAGAATGCTTAATTAGATTTAAGAAATTATAGCAGTGTCATCTGAGAAAGACCTTAATGAATGAATAAACCTAAAATTGTCAAACTCATAGATGTAGAAGTGGTTGTTGGGGCTGGGAAGAGAGGAAAATGGAGGTATTAGTCAAGGGGTACAAAGTTTACTTACACAAGGTGGTAAGTTCTAGGGATCTGTACAGTATGGTGCTTATAGTTAATAATATTGTATGCTTAAATTCTTGCTAAAATGATAGATCTTATGTTAAGTATTCTTATTACAAAAATAATAAATGAGGGCAGGAAGAGACTTTTGGAGGTGATAGATTGATGGCATAGATTGTGGTGATAATGTATCTCCACGCTCATCAAGTTGCATACATTAATTAATGCATCATTAATTATGCATTTATTATGTCTAAAATTAATTTGTTTTTTAAAAAACAATGAATAACATTTCAGTAGTGTATCAAGGATGAAGGAATGGCCTGAGTAAAGTCATGTATACATGAAAGTGTATTTGAGGAACAGAATAGCTGCATTTGATGGTATATAAGGATAATTCAAGAATGTGGTAGGCAAATAATGCTTTCTATATAGGTAAGGTAGTGTTGTGCCAAGATCACAGTAGGCTTTGTGTCAATAAGAGCTTCCCATATTGCCAGTAAAAATATTTTCTAATTGTGAAACAATAAAATGGATTCATTGCTTCACATGAGTGGATATTCCAGAATTCAGCTGAGCTCTTAATTTAGTGGTTTCTTCAAGGACTTGTTTGTGTGTTTTGTCTCTATGTTCTGCTTTTCATGTTATACACTGGCTGACTTTCTGCATAGTGACAAATAGAGCTGCAGTAATATCAGAGGCTTTAGTCTCCCGATAATGAGTCTATCCTGGTTTCCTGAGGAAACCTCTCCTTGCAATCTAATTGTCTCAAGTAGCTCACCCATTCCTGCACAAAACCATGTGACTACGAGGGCACTTACAGATATTCTTAAGCTGCCATGAATTCATTTCCATGCATGTATGGCTCCTAAAAAGTGGGAGAGAGGTAGAATAGCTTTCTGGAAAATAGCTGCAGTATCTTTTACTTCTTTGAATTCCATGTGTAGGCTCTGGATTTTCTTCTGTAAATAAAGGAGATGTGTTTACAGACTTTATCCTTGTATTGTTTAGGAGTTATTCAATTCACTTTAGACTTTGTTAAGTATTAATGTTAAAATACTTAGGGCTATTTTTATTCAAGAGAGTTGCCACTAATCACATGTGATTATTTAATTTCAATTCAACTTAACTAAAATCAAATAATGAAAAAGGTGAATAATACAAATTCTCAGTTGCACTAATCACATGTCAGGTACTTAAGAACCACATGTGGCTGTGGTATCAGGCAGTACAGATGCAGAACATTTCATCACTGCAGAAATTCTGTTGGGCAGTACTAAAGTCTATGGCATCCAATTATAGAACAGAACTAGAGTATTAAACTGCCAAACGATTTGTGGAGAAGGAACGAAAGGGAAAAATCAAGGAAAAATAAAGGAGGCAATGAAGCAAAGGAATATAAATTTAGAAAAAATAGAAGATACAAAATGATAGAAATGTACACAAAAAACCCCAAACCCAAATTATTCAAAAGACTTTAACTTTTATTGTTTCTTTTAAATTTATTTATTTCATATGCAGTAAAATTCAGTCTTTTTGGTATACAGCCCAATGGCTTATGACAAACACCTACAGTCATGTAATCATGAGCAGAATCAAGAAGCAAAGCAGCTCCGTCACCCTAAATAATTCCTTGTGTGGTTTTATTACTCTAAATAATTCTCTGTATTCCCCACTTACCCCTTTTCACTCCAGTCCCTGGTAACCGCTAATCTGTTCATTACTCTAGTGTTGCCTTTTCCAGAACATCATGTAAATGGAACACACACTGAATCATACCCTTTGAGTTTGGCTTCTTAGAACATTCTATATAAGATTCATGGATGTTGTTGCATGCATTGATAGGTTTTTTCGTTTTATATCTGAGTAGCATTCCACTGTGTGAGTGTATCAAAATCTGTTTAGGCATTCACTCACTGAAGAACATTTGAATTGTTTCCAGTTTGGGGACTTCATAAATAAAGCTGTTGTGAACATTTGCATAATGGTTTTCATATGAAAACTGGTTTTCATTTCTCTTGGATTCACATAGCAGTGGAATTGCTATCATGGAAAATGAATGTTTCACCTTTAAAAGAAATTGTCAAAATGTTTTTAAAATGGCCATATGATTTTGCATCCTCACTACCAATGTGCGAGAGTTCCAGTTGTTTCATGTACTTATCAACACAAAATTTTTCTGATTTATTCATTCTCACAGGTAGGTACTGGCATCTTTTTGTGGTTAATTTGCATTTTACTAATGACTAATGATTTCAGCATCTTTTCATATTCTTATATCATCCACATCTTTGGTGAAGTGTCTATTAAAATATTTTGTCCATTTTTATACTGGTTAGTTATTGCCGAGTTTTAAGAGGGCTTTACATATTTTGGCAATAAGTCCTTTGTCATTGCTTTTCTCATAACATTTGTGATATTGATATTTTATCTCTCTGTGGGTTGTCTTTTCATCCTCTTAGTACTGTTTTGGGAGGGAAAAGCTTTCAATTTTGACGAAAGTTCACTTTATATATATTTCTCTTTGTGGATCATGCTTTTGTTTTTTACATCAAAGAAATTTGATAAATCTAAGATCACAAAAAACATTTCTAAGTTTTCTTTCAGAAGTTTATAGTTTTAGGTTTAAGTCTACGACTGATTTTAAGTTTGTGTTTGTGTGTGTGGTGCAATATCTGGATCAAAGTTTATGTGTTTGTATAAATTGTGTTTTAATTGTGTAAAAAAATTAACTCAATTGTGGATGATTAGCATCTTAACAGTGAGTCTTCCAATCTTGAACAAGGTACATTCTCCATTTATTTTGGTCTTGTTTAATTTCTTTTGCCATGGGGCATCTGGGAGAATAGCAAATCTGGTGGATAAAGGCAGGGTAGGGAGTGGGGGGGGTTGAAGGGGCAATGTGACTGGTGCACTACTCTTTCCAAGGCCACCAGACAAGGCGAGAACTGGAAAGATCAGAAGTACAAGGAACGAGTGACAGAGGTTAGTCATCTTAGCATCATGCAACTGTAAGATTTTCCACTGAACTGTAAGTGGCTCCTCCTAGCAGACTTTCTGCTATTACGTCTAGGTCTCTGGAGTGTGTCTGTACTGTCTTGGTCCTTTGACTAGAAACCCTTACTTCCTCCACCCTCCCTAAATTCCTCAAAGGAGAGACCTCCAGCACTGGAATGTCTCTCCCCAGAAAAAGTTCTATACAGATGAAGTCATGTCTCCATCAGGGGCCCCTAGACTAAGAGCCCCCTGCAAACTGGATGTTCAAGATCAGAAGTTATTGGGACTTATGTACGCCAGAATCTACAGTCTACCGGGAACTTTATACACATCTTATGGGAGTCTCACCATACCAGGAGGGAAATGTTTTCCAATTTGACAGAAAACAGAGGAGAGATATTTGTTCAGGTTGCATTTGAAGCCTGAACCCTCAGTTAGCAAACTTTATTGACCGGCTCCTACTTTAGGGACTGGACATGTGAAAGGGGACAGGGTCCCAGCTCTGTCAACCTCACCTTTCAAAGAGGGAAAGACACAATTAAGGAAACAGACAAATAGAAACGTTTAGTTACTGGATCAAGAACATACGAAGGTAATAGAAAGGGGCGAGTACATGGCTGAGAGTGCTACTGTGGTTGGGGAAGTGGAGAGGCCCCCGAAGAGGCCCTACAAACACCCAAGGGAAGGCCAGACAGAATGGTGAGTGCAGAAGCCCTGAGATTGGCTAGGGCTTCGTGTCCAGGGCCTGAGAGTGCAGTGTAGTTGGAACCAAGGAGAGAGGAGCTGAGCAGCAGGAGACGGGGCAGAGAGAGGGGTGGGCAAGGACTAAAACACTCCACCTTCATGGGCCTTGGAAAAGAGGTGATAGGAAGATGCTTGAAGGGACAGAGGACTGAAAAGTAAAGGCTATTCCACGGGCATCCAGGCTAAAGAGGAGAGGACCTGGAGTGGCCTGAGGCTGGGAGTTGGAGGGGCAGAGAGGAGGTGATGGAATGGATGAGAGTTATGAAGGAAAAGAGAGATGGAGAATTTAGGGCTTAAACTGGAGGCCAGAGAGGGAGCAGAAATGACAAGTGGGTTTTGACCCTAAAACACAAACACTTTAGCACTGACAGGAACTTTGCCTTTTTCTTTGTTTTCTCTCATTGGCTAAGACAGTAATCACTTTGTTCATTTATTCAGTGAACATTTTTTGCAAACCTACATGCGTGGTATGTCATAGGCACCAAGGATATACCAGTGAATACAGTGATATCCTTGTTCTCTTGGAGCTTACACTATAGAGG